TTCACTTTAACGTTAGGGTTTAAAATTTAGCGACTCGTTTTTCGAGAAAAATAATTTTATAAAATTTGAAATTCTTGGTCGCTACAATCCTCATATACATTTTTTTCCCCTCATTTTATCAACTTTTTCGTATGCATAAAACACATGCATCGTTTTATTCTAACTCTTCCTCAATTCTTCTCTCACACATCAACACCTTTGACTATGTGAAAATTTTCTCGCTTTGTCACGCCTCTCTTTCTGTATACATCAATGCTTTACTAGTAGGTGCCACTATTCCTTGATCAATTTTCATAAATATAAACAGAATTCAAAGACTCGTTATATATAACTCTACAATTTGACATCTTTAAACTTCGATCGTCATTCTTCTTGCCATTACCACATAACCCATTTTTTCCACTTCATAATCTTTAGCGACAATAGAAGACTTTCCTTTGTTTGACTCCAACGCGGAAGCCTCACCTGAAATTGATTTTCGTATTGGCCCATACAAATAGCCAACATATTTCCCTCTCCTTATTGGTTCAAAATTTTTATTCACAATCATCTTGTGGACGTGTCCAATCCTCCTATTATGTTAATTATAACTAGAATCTCTAATACCAATTGTTGGGAATTNACCACTTGTGTTAATTATATCCAAAATATCTTCTTCCAATTGTTAGAAATTCAAATATCACTTTTCACTCGATACCACTTGATATGAAACCAACCACCGGATTGAGATGTTGAAGTTATATGGCACAATAATGAAGTATATGATCACAAGCAAAAGAATAAAAGAAGACAAGAAAATATGACGGAGGAATTAGAAGATTTTATTTCACCACAAATAATGAAGATGAAGAAATATTACAGGATATGCAGACAATCTTTATGAATAATTGATGTAACATTTGTAATAAAGAATGTCAGGATTGTCAACTTATGGTATGGAACGACTGACTCATTGTCAATTTATTAAATACGTAGCAGACTGAGCGATGTGAGATTTCGGCCTTGGAGATGAAGTCATGTGGTTCTTATCCAACGATTACCACGTGGGCCATGACTCTATAAATAAGCAACTCTTGTAACATTTGTTCCTAATACAACTCTGAACACTCAAAAACACATCCAGCTTTCTCTCTTACTTATTCCCTATTTATTTGCTTGAGTTCAATTTGATTTTATTTTGGTGGAGTTGTTTATAATTGTTTGTTTGTTTACAATATCTTTGATCATATTGCATGTGCTTGAACATTTTTGTCTTGCATCATGAAGCATCTCACACATCCATAAACACCACCCTTCTCTGTCCGGATCTTCAATCAAAACATATTGAAATTTGCTTGCATGAACTCAAGTGAGCTCGACATCTATTGTCCACGTAGCCATTACGGAAAATAGGGTCAACAGTTTCTTTCCCATCATGCCCGAATGTGTTATGTTCAAATGAAAAGTATTAAATACATTAATAAAAAAGAAACATGTAAGATGTTTATTAATTATTTATAAGTGGAGA